ATGGCGGAGCCCTCCCAGTGCCAGGCCCGCCCCCTCCCCACCCTCCACCCCCCTACCCGCTGCCCTCCATCCATTCTTTATTGAGGTTGCCTGGGGTGCCAGGTCACTTGGAGGTGAGGACATCAGTGGCTGCCACTCTTCTGGAGCACACACTGTACTGTAGTCCTCACCCCTTTGTGGCAAAACCCTCTCTGGCTAATCTCAGTTGTGGATAAAAAGCAGAAACGAACAAAGCTTGGTCCACTGTGTGTGTGTGTGTGTGTCACCATGAACTGGTCAACTAAAAGGTTCACTGTGGAAAAATAAACAGTATTTCAAGTATTGAAAAATATCAATAAACGCTTGTCTTTGCTCTGTGTAATTCCAGCCGCAGCCCTCTAACTGCTGGATTGGCTCCGGGGTCGCTGGTCGTTTACTCCTGGCTGTATTCAAGAGGAGGAACGCTGGCTGAATGCAGATGGATTCATTAGGTCTGAGTAACACCCTTCTCCTTCATCACACTGACACAAATGCATACCCAGTGTAACCGCTCCGGCTTTGCGCGAGAGAACAGCACGTTCTGCAGAACTGGACGCTCTGCCTCCACACGTGCACGGTCAAACGCGTACGTACACACTGAGCTCCAGTGTAAACATCGCCATGCGGTTTCACTAAGGAAGATTAACTCAGAATTCAGCTGGACGCTGTTCGGTCATTTTAGCCCAAACAGAGCTCGTCCACATGTGTTCAGCATTTCTGCTGGATGTCTCGAATGTAAGCAGAAGACAGAGACAGGCTCTTTGATGAGGCTTTTTTTTTCATGTTCAGAGAAAGGGCCCGGCTCTGACAGTTTGTCTTTGTGCCTGCAGTCTCCAGTCAGAACGCTCTTCTGGCTGAGGACAGCAGTGCCCTCAGACTGATGTCACTGCAATCAGGGAACTGGATTTATCCCTGTTCAAAAGCTCAGAGGTCTGCAGCGACCAGGCTGCTGTGCAGATGAGGACAAAATCAAGAAAATGTATTTAATTTGGACCAAGGGCTCTCAAACTTCCAGCTCTGGTACCATTTCCAACTAGTGAACCCCCAAATCTGGCCTGTGACTAGATGTTGATAATTATTTCATTTTGCTGTTAAGGTGATTTTTATTTAATTATTAAAATATAGTTAGTCATTTGAGAATGAGGAAAAAATTGTATAAGCCATTTGCACTGTAGTATTACGAGAGTATGAGACCCCTCCCATCTGTTTGTTTACCTGGTAAACAAACGTCACATTTCTTAACTCTATTTAGTTAAATTTTTTCTTTCTTCTATTTCTTCCTCTTTCTTCCTAATATTTTTCCCTTTGTTATTATAATATTCTAATATATTTCTATTTTTTCTTCATCTTTTTCTTTATCCTTTTTGTTGTTTTTGCCACGGTGCTTAAGCCAATCACAGCTTGAAACCTCAACTGAGACAAATCTCACTTTTGAGCCTCAGTTGAAATGACTTCAACCATCTGTTTACACCCACCACTGGTTGGCGCTGTGGCCCAATAATTAGGTCACGTCTTGAGGGGCCTTATTATTGGACCTGCACTTTAAATACCAATAAGAAAACCAGTCAGAGAAACAGTTTCTGTTCTAGTCAGTTCTCTCAGAGACATCAGTGTGTGTGAGTCAGACTCAGATTGGTGCAAATGCCAGGCCGTCTCTATTACAACACCATGCTGCGTTGTGTGTGTGTGTGTGTGTGTGTGTGTGTCAGCTGCGTGACGACTAGCTGCGTGCTGCTGATCCCTGTCCCTGCCATGTTTGCCCTGCTGCTCACACGCACTGAGACGGGGCACCACGCTGACGCAAACAGGCGTCCTCTTACACATCTGGTATAGAGGTACGCATGCTATCCATCCGCTGTCAGTCACCGTCACACTCTGGCTGCGTCCGTGCCCACCCAGACGCTGCGTCTCGCCTGGCTGCACCGTTCTCTCTCTCTCTCTCTCTCTCTTTTTGGAGAGAGAGATGAGAGAGCGAGGATCACATTTACACAATGTTACATGAAGCAACACTTTCACGGAGCTGGGAGAAGTCAGTGAAGCCAGGAGAGAGAGAGAGAGAGTGTGTGTGTGTGTGTCTGTAACACCTTTCTCATTATGGTCTGCTCTGATTGGTCTCTTCATAGGGAGAACCCTCACGGCGACATATCTCGTTATGTCAATGTTTGAAATGGATGTTGCTGCGTCCTCCCTGCTGTGCTGTCTCAGACTGTGGACAGTGTGGACAGTGTGGACAGGTGCTTGGTATTCACCGTGTGTCTCTTTGCATGGACTAATTCTATTTAACCCGGTGAAGTCTGCTGGACTGTACGGTCAGACTGCCCTCGCAGTCCAGTGTGTACCCACCTCTGCTTTATTAACCACCCGCTCCAGCAGTCGTGCACATTCTACTGTTTGCTATGTGTAATTTACTAGGCAGCCCGTGGGCCAGGGCTTCATCTGCAGGAGAGCGTGAACAGAGTCTTGGCGCCAGTTATAGGACTTTAGGACTGATTGGGGAACTTGATTGACCTCCAGTAATGGATTTGAGTGAATAATTATTTGTAGTTATGGTTGGAAGATGATATCAGGGAGGGGGGGGGGAGAGAGAGCAGTCCCACCACTGTGACTCACCCTGCTGCCAGAGCAGAGCACTGCCAGCACTCAATTAATGAAATCCAGCTGCTCGGACTCCACACATGTAGTGGCTGATCAAGAAAAAACACACGGGGGTCTGGGCAGCGCGGAGAAGGTTATCTTCGTCCAACCTTTCCCTTTTCGCACAACTGGCAGCCCGTGGCCCATCACAATAGTGATTATAAAATCTTCCCTGCTCCAGGTACAGGACATTAAGGTTGATAATGTCTCCATTATTTTTTAACAGCCTGTGGCGGTGCTCGGCACAGCCCACGGCAGCCATGTTAATGAGACCTCTCAAAATGGCAGGCAGCGCCTCCTCAGGACACAAAATGCAATCACTCTTAATCCGCTGCTTTAATTGCCGACTAAGCCCGCCTAAGTGAATTCAGCTGTTCCATCTCTGCAGGCGGGTGGATGCACCTCAGGACCACGACGAGAGAAAACTCACAGAGAGATAAACAGCACTTTAAAACCAGCCATGTAGAGACGATGAGTGCCGGTAAAAGTGAGGCCTCTTGTTTTTTTTGTTTTTTTTTTTGGTCTGAAGTGGTCAGTGCTGCTCTTTTCTTCCTCCGCAGCCTCCGTGCATATTTTTCTCAGCTCTGTTCACAGGCCTGTGACTGTAATATGCAGTGGGAATAACAGCCACCCTTCCTGCTACTTCTCTCAGTTTTATCTCTCGCTCTCCGTTCTTCTCAGCTTCTAATTTTTTTCCCTCTTTTTTCTCACTCTCTCTTGTTGTCCTTTTCTCAAGTCCTCTCTCGTCATTGGTCCTGCCCCCCCCCCCTCGCCCTCTGTTTTCTCCCACTCTCTCCCCCCTCTCCTTCCACATTCTCCCTTTGTGTGACCCTCATTGTCCTGATGCCAGTCTCCATTATTTCCTTGCTGCCCAGTGGCCTGGTCAAGCTGCTGCTCTGGGTGTACATGTTATGACAGGTAACATGGGGCCACACACTCTCTCTATGGTAACAAGAGCAGGTCAGTGGGTTGTCCCTGGTCAGAGCTCTGCAGTACACTCACAGGCACGTGTGTGTACACAAATTATGCGCAGTATACTGAAGTGTTGTTTTTTTTTTGGACAAAATATAGATCGTTCTAATGATGCTCGGCTCTGTGTAGACTCTGATGATACACTTGACTTATGAGATGAGGCCAGATAAATGTTAATGGCTTGTGATTTTTAGATGAAAAAAAATTTGGACGAAAAATCAAACCAAAAAATAAATAAAAATGCTGGAAAAAATAATGAAGAGTTTTCAGAGGTTTTGCCATAAGCTCCCACTTAGCTCTAGTTACATGGAACGGTTACATGGATCTGCTGAAGTTGATTTGGTGGAGCGTTAGTGGATGCCATTTGTGTGATGTTGTGATGAGGTCATGCATCATGAGGTTAGATCTGTATAATTCAGTCCGGTCAAAAACTTTTGCGAGACTTCACATGTTAGACCAGTTACAAATCTGCAGATAACGACGCTCAAAATGTTCAATAACGCTGCTGTTTTGAAGTTGATTTAATATTTAGTCAAACAATGAACATTTGAGACATTGAATATTCTGATTTCATAGACGATTATGACCCAACTGCTCTTCTATTTTTTACTTTGTTTGTTGACCTTTGAACTGTAGCTCCTGGTGATGGCTCTCCTATTTTATACTTTGTTTGTTTGTTTGTGACCTTTGAACTGTAGCTCCTGGTAATGTTGTTGACAGTGGTGTCATGTCTGTGACACATACTGTATCTGCTCGCCCACAGACTATATCTTGCCTTCTTCTACTTCGTGCTTAGAGCGGCTGAGGTATGAAAATAGCATGAAAATCAGCATGAAAATACCACCTTCCTGATCCATAGTTGACAAAATGAACAGCTTTTATTTTTAAATGATAACTGGGAGCTTTGGAAATGTTGTGTTCTATTGCCTTTAAAAAACGCTGTAACCAGTACAACTTCAGTGGCTGCTCCCGTTTAGCAGGCGGTAACAGGTAGTATTTAAGTGGTTAGTTGCCGTTAACTACAGCTAA